AAACCTATCTCCGACTTCGGTCACTGCATACATCCTTGACGTAGTTATTTCAAACCCGCAGTGGGGCGCTGGTTGCGAGTGAAATTGGAATATTTGTAAATGACTTCAAGGATATTTGAGATAGAGACCTGGAAATGGGACTATAATTTTTCCAGATTCAGCTCTATTTACTGTTCAAATTTCAACCAGATTAGTTACGTTTTGAGGACGTGCATAGCTGACAAACATACATATTTACATATGTTGATTTTTATATAAAGAGAGATACATATTTTGAATCTCAGTATTTTATATTTATCACAACACCAATATATAATACTATCATATTGCATCATTCACAGTTAACGATGGTGGTTCGATAAGTAAGGTAACCAAAAAGGAAGAGAAATAATTCACTTATCTGAAAAATAACGTTTTATTTTAAAATTTAAAATATGTTTCAATGATTTTTATTATATTTTGTTGTTGTTCTATAAAGAGGAATATACAAATTGATTTGTTGTTTTTGTTTATTATTATCGTTTGTTTAAAAAATACATTGCATGTATGGATAATAAAAATGACTTTTTAATTTAATATACAAAATTCAGTGGAAAAAAAAGAAATAATTAATTACAAAATTCACAAACGTGACAATATTCAATCCTTTTAGCCCTATAAACTTTGACGATCGATATTCAAGAGCCATTATATTTCATTGAACGTTTTCTTGAGGCTGTACAAATTCTCATACACCGGCTTGATGGCCGCATTATTATTGTGCCAAAATCCTCCCAGCCATTTTTTTTTTCAAATTGGGGAATCCCTATATATATAAAAGTCAGTGTATGTATGTATGTATGTATGTATGTGGGTATCTATGTCGGCTATACACGTCCACAATACGTAACTAATCTGACTGAAATTTTAACAGTATATAGAGTAGAATCTGGAAAAACTTTTAGTGAAAATTTCAGGTCTCTATCCCGAATATTCTTCGAGTTATTTGCAAATTGCATTGCAAATTTGCCTTTTCGCTCGCAAGCAGCGCCTCTAGCGGTGAAGATGGGAGGTAATATCAGCTGACCTAATGTAGATGTAAAACATGTTTTTACAGGACATAGAGAAAAATCTGGAGAAGATATTTATTGGATTTTTAGCCAATAAAAAAATAATATTGACAGGTTCTGGGCAAAAATAGTTGTTTTATTAGTCAGAAAATGATGATGACAATATTGCTGTATTATGTTTGATTATCAGATACAAAATTATATCGGGAAAAATTCCAAAAAGCAGAGACCACGGGTGAAACCAGTTCATTTTTTTTTTGTACGCAGGAACAAAATTCTAACAGAAAAACATTCATTCGAGCAGAAGACACAAAGCCAGATCATCTCTTTATAAAAATATCGCTTCTCAGACACAAAGTTTGGAGCGGGACGTTTCACAAGAATGACATCCACGGCACCAATTTATAATTGTAACGAATAGTATCTGAATAAAAACATTTAATCGGGTAAAACCTGGGCGTTACCCGGGTCATTCGGCTAGTAGAATATACATTTTCGGGGCTAAGTCCGGTGAATAGGATGGTTGTTCAAGTTATTTTGCAACAAAGTTCGTGCTTTCGTGCCATTACAATTGTGGATCTGAACGCTAGACCATTCTATTGGTTGAAGATGACTTTTTCTTTGTCAAATGCGCCCCCCTTTTTTGGTATTTCATCAGCAAATATTTGAACTTTCTTTGCAAAACACTCCCCGGTATTGCAATGTCTTTCTTCAGTTAATCAAAGAAGATAATTCTATTATCATAAAAAAAAAACGCGATGACCTTCCCAGCAGATGGCACTGACTTTGCATTATTTGGTGCAAATCTCTCATTCTTTACCATTTTGACTGCATGTCCGTCTCAGGTGTGTAGTGATAGACCCAGCTCTCATCAATGGTTATGTTTCGGCGCAGATTTCTTTTAGCCTTAAGACTTTCTAAACTGACCAAAGAAACGCCCACCCTTGCCAAAATACCAATCGCATACAAAGAGCTTATTCATTACAAATATTCGTGAATAATGTTGTGCATACGATAACTTGAGATGTTAATAGACTCTTCTATTTAGCTAACATTTTTCTGCGATCATTCCAAATAATTTTGTGGATTCTGGTAATGGTTTCTTCGCAGGTCGCCTGCAATAGTCATCTTTGTAGCATGTTTAGCCCTCAGTTGTGAACTGCTTATAAAGAAGAAGGAGATTCACATAAAACATCATTCCACGCCTTTTTATTTGAGTGGCCTTTTTCCCTTTCAAAATAAAGAATTTAATCACCGCTCAAATTCCATTTTTAAAGAAACGGTCGTCATGTGTACACTTTTATGATTTTCTAAATATTGAAATCGTAAATTCTCTGGTTTATAATTTTGTGTGCATGATTTTTAAATGCTATTATTGTTTATATTCGATAAAATTTGTTTTTTTATGATTTTTTTTTCTGTCTCGTCTACCATACTTATTAAACCACCCTCGTCTATACGTTCTATGAAATTCATGGTATGTTATGAGTGCAAACACTGCAAGTACACCACATGTCTAGACATGGAATACTGAGACATGATAACCATGGGAGCTAAAGTGGTGTGTAAATGCTTGTTTGTGTAATAATACTATGTGTTTTCATCTATATAGAGTACACCAAACCATGATAATAATAGTGAGTTAAAGGATATATTTTGGTTTGTGCTGCAAGTTCTTCATACGTCTACATATGTAGTATCAGGCCATGATGATAATAATAATGGGTTGAAGGTTGTGACTGATTGTATTGTTAAGTCTCCACATGTTTACACATATGCAAATGTGGGAATAGAGTTGTAACTACTTGTACTCTATGTAACTCACATATATCTATGGAAGCAATGGTCGCCTCTCCCGTCAAAATAAACGTCAGAATCTGACGCCATCTATTGACCGTCGCCGCAACTAGCGGCATCGGGTCGGTGACAAAGCCACAACACCAACTTTGGCAATAGATGGCGTCAGATTCTGACGTTTATTTTGATGGGAGAGGCGACCATTGCTTCCATGGATTGATTTTATCCCGGCAAATTTTCCATCACATATATCTATACAAATATGTAGCATCAGGCCATGATAATCATGTTGAGTATAGATCTGTGACTATTTATACGGTAATTACGCGCCACATGTCTACACGGGTAGTACCGAGCCATGATAATCATGATGGGTAGAGGGTTATGGCTACCTATTATGTAGAAGTCTGTCACATGTCTATAGAAGCTAGCTAGACATCCAAAGGTGCCAGTTTAGGCCTTCACACACTGAGTTGGAGGACGTATTCAAGAAAAACCTTAGAAATCATTTATATAAAAAGTTGCCTCAAAGTAGCTTATAGTCCTAATTGCCTTATATGTTTTACACCTTGAATTAACACTAAGATTTTTGAATGCAGTTAAATTAAAACACATTGTAAATACACATAGATTATAATTACAATTATAATTATATATCCCAATTTTTATACTAATACAAGAAGGGAGAAATATTCCTTCAAAGAAAAAGAAAGTAATTGATAATTACATAAGAAAAATTAATATAAATTGTTTACCATAAATCATCTAGAGTCATCAATTTGAAATATAAACAAAATAGTGAATATTTTAACATGATGTAATATCCTATATGAATAACTTGATTTTTATTCGATGAATATCATTTGGCATCGACATGTAAAAAAGGTAAACAGCTTTTAAAATAAATTACAAAAATAATAAAAATAGTGTGGCAAAAATATTAATAAAACGGTTATACAAAATATTATTTACAAAGTGTTTTTTAACAGTGTGGTTTATATAATACATTTAAAACATTTGTCATTAACACAAAAACATTATTACCACTTTGAAATGCATGCTGAAAATATCAAATGATTTGTAAAAATATAAAATGATTTTGTATTGTAATAAAAGTATTATATTAGGAAATTATAATTATTCATTATGCTTTGAAAACATATCATTGAAAAGTATTTCATTCACTTTATATTAAATTTGGAAAAAAATAAATTATTATTGAAATAATTACGTTTTACACAAATATTTTAATTAAGCTCTAGTCTAGATGAAAACGAGTTTTCACTCTTTCTTCTGTTATACAAATGTTTACATCATATACATTACTTCTGAATTACTCTCCAGGAACCCGGGTTACCTCTATTCTCTTTATCTCTCTCTGAATCACAACCACTGACAGTTTTAGAACCTCCAATAAGCGACCATCAAATTAGTGACCACCTCCATGAGTGACCACCTTCGTGATGTAAAAACTTTTACTTATATAGATGGAAATTTTGCCGGGAGGATATTGATCTAAAGAGACAAAGGGCGCCTCTCCCGTCAAAATAGACGTTAAAACTAGAAGCCATCTATTGACCGTCGCCGCAAACTAGCGGCCTAGGGTTGGTGACAAAGCCACAACACCAGATCTCTAGGTGGACGCTTGTCAGTTTGCCAAAGCTGGTGTTGTGGCTTTGTCACCGACCTGAGGCCGCTAGTTTGCGGCGATGGTCAATAGATGGCGTCTAGTTTTGACGTCTATTTTGACGGGAGAGGCGACCTTTGTCTCTTTAGATTCACTTATATCTATTTCAACCTTCAATTGGGACTCCGCCTCTAGGAGATACCAGCGCTACCATATAGATGCTTCTTAGGTATTTAAAGCTTCCGAATCGATCTATCTTTGGTTAGAAATTAAGTGAATATTTTCCTTTTATAAACAATTTAGTCACTGTATAAGAAGTAAACAAGGCAGCAAAGGTCAGGACCGAAACTACTGAAGGTTTGTTTTTCAACTTGCCGTTTTTACTTTTGTCGAACCACTCTCTCTCTCCCTTTCATTAATTACATATACAGTTATCAGCGTCATAATCAAGCAACAAATCTTAATCAATTCTGTCACCGTTTGCTTTGTGAATGGAATAAATACCCAAATATGGCCATTTCTCATAACCATTGGTGGTTCAGTGGTAGAATGCTCGCCTGCGACACTGGCGGCCCGAGTTCGATTCCCCGCCGATGCATTTTTTTTTTTTTACAATTTTAAAAACTCATTTATATATTATACAAGAATGACATCCATGGCGTCAATTTATAATTTTAACGAATAGTATTTGAATAAAAGCATTTAATCGGGTTAAACCCGGGCGTTGCCCGGGTCATTCGGCTAGTAATAGAATAAAGATAATTAAAATATTGTAATTGTCTCCCCAATTTGAATTAGAGAGATTTTCTTGATACAATTTTTAATATTTCACAATTTGAAATAATTTCAAATTGTGAGAAAAATTTCTTTGTTTTATTTTTGGTTTAAAATATTTTATGTTTTACTATAGAATTTTCTTTTGCTATTTATATTTTCTTCTTTAACTTTTAATTTACGCTAATGATTCTTAACGGCTGACGATTTGCTAAATGGGATTTTGAAAAATATATTTATTGTTAGTTAATATAATTATTAAATAAAAAGAACAAACCTAAATATAAAATAGTTATAAGAACTGCATGTAATTTTGAAAAAGAAGATGGATTAATAATGACAAGTCTAGATCCTCTAAATCTGTAACTGAATGTCCCAAGATGGCTACTGCTTATGCTACTTGCATTGTACTAATAAAAATATACAGTAGAACCTCCATGAGAGGACACTCACGCTAGAGGATACCTCTCTATAAAGGACAGTTTTCATTGCCAAAAATACCATTTTTACTATTTATCAACTCTCCGGGAATAGCTCTGGCTTTTCTTCACCCACGTATTAAGAAACTCTCTAGTAAGAGGACACCTCTCCCTAAAGGACACTTTGGCTCTGCAACTAGGTGTCCTTTATAGAGAGGTTTTACTGTATTTGATGGAAAATGTGCAAATTCGAATATATAAACCAGATGTCTGTCCTCTTGGGCAATTGTGTCTGCAGATCTTTTGAGTTTCTGTATGACGTTCTGTATGGGCATCCTCGATCAATCTATTCTATAGTCTTGTGACGGGCATGAGAGTTCGACCAACCCGAGCAGCAATATCATGGTAGGATAAACCGCAGTCCTGGTAAGCTACCATTCTGACGCGAACAATTTCCGACACATGCTGGTATAATACATGTTCAACGCTGAGTTTACAATTGAATAGGATCAACAAGTAATCCAGCGCTAGGTTTATTCAACTTTAAGTTGAAGAAACCTAGCCCTAGATTGCTTGTTGTCGTATTAAAAATGCTGGTGTAGTTCCTCTTTTCCTGTACGAAACATAACAAGACATTTTCTGAAGGATTCAAAATGTAAGTGGAATTTCTATAAGATATATATCTGCTTTACGATCTGCCCTTTTTATACATAATGTAGGTGTCGTCACTCCTTCCTACTTTTCATATTGAGGTTAGAATTATAATCATTTGCATACAAAGCATGTTGCAATATTCATTCAAATTTTGCCGTTTTATTGTTCCTCTTACATGATACATCGATTTTGATGGCTATCAAGGAATTAAGTATAATCACGTTATTTTAAAGTCATTTTGATTAGCATTTTAATGGCCAGCACAGTTTACGAAATATGTAATTTAAATTAATTTATACAAGGTTTACTATTTTTAAAATTGTATTTATATAATATAGGAAAATGAGTTAAGAACAGAGAGAGTTATTTATAACCCAGATTCCTGGAGCGCAGAACGCCAACTACCCTATATATAAAAATAATTTTGTCACAGTATAGAAAAATAAATCTTGGATGTAGAATATTATAGAATTTTATTTCAAATATATAGAAAATTTCGAACATAAGTTCAAATGTTTTTTTTCACTTAATACATTTGAAAATAGAGGTAAAGGAAAAAATAATTTTATACTAAAAGAAGCCCCTCTTTCTTTAAATATCAAAACTATTTCATATTTTTAAAATATAAAAGTTTCTAACAACTTTGAAACAGAGGATTCGGCAGTTACGCGTCAAATTATTGTTATAGTTTAACATTTCTTCCTATCTTTTATTCCGATTTTACTTCCCCGCATCTAGGACGTGTAACTGCGAGAACGTGACTTTGTTGATCTGTTGTTGTTGGTTTGGAAAAATATAAATTCTTTTCACATTATAACTTGCTTAATCTTCTTTTTACATTCTCCTTCCTTAATTTTTGTTATCACTAAAAAAAATTGAACTTTTCATTTCCTATAATAAAAACAAAACAAGATAGAGGTTGTCTGACTAGCATTTATAGTTCTTTAAAAATTAAAAGACACTTCGACCTGAATTTTTATTATATCGATGTTTCGACAAAAATCTTTTTTTTTTCCCTGACGAGGACAAAAGCTTTTTGTTGAAACGTCAAGAGAATAACACCATTTCTAGCCGAGTTTCTTTTAATTTAAAGAAAGGAAAATAAAACACAAGTTCAATGAGTTAGTGATGTGTTAGCAAGATGTGTGTAAGAAAAGTCTAACAAATTCAATATTTAATCAAAACTCTAATATGCAAATATCTAATATGTAAAAACCTATTTAAAAACAACACATTCAAAGATTATCTCTATTTTACTTGATCAATTCAATATCTAAAGTACATAAGTGCAACAGTACATGACAATTCCCACAAAGGATAACTCAAGTGTCTAAAAACTCGACCAGACAAAAAGGAAGTATTCGAACAAATTCCGAAAGTCCGACAACAACGTAATTTCAACAATAGACGGAAGTTATTTTTCTCCCGGAATAGTCTTACAACATTGCCTCTGTGTGTGATAAAGATAAATTCAAGGATTTTATACTCTGTGGAGCAGAACGAATTTAAGATCTAAATATAGAATGGCTTAGTGTGATCCTTAGATTACAATCCGTATATAGTGCTGAGTCGTTAGTTACATAACAACTTCCATTATTGTAGTGTTGGCATACCTCCCTCTATATCTTCGGGTCAGTTGTTTTATTGATTTGCCAATAGAGCCGACCATTTGTAGACATGTCAATCATTTTTCTACCTCTTCATTGTGAAGTAACAAGGTACTTCGTTTAATTTGTCTTAGCCATCTGACTCAATTCTTTTTTTCTATTGTCTTCCTCAGCTATAAATTTGTCCCAAAAGTTCGTGTTCTTCGTTGTTCAACAAAACGTTGTTTTACTTATTACTTGGCGAATAATATTATTACGGCGCATACATATACAATTACTTATACATAACGGCGAATAATATTATACCGAATAATATTGGTATTACAATTTTTTGAAAGTGTTTACGAATTTTTGGGACAACGCTGTATTTCTTTCAATATCTTTTCTTAGATTTCTTTTCTTTTTTATATCTCTCTATTAACTCAAAATATTCTCTATAAAAATTCCCATTTTTATTGCCTCCAATATTTTCCTTCCATCTTCATCACAGTACATCTCAGTGTTTCTGCTCTCCTTACTCAGTTGGCCACACGATATTTCATTTTGTTTAAAACAACTTGGACTGATGACATGCTCCTATAGGTGCCCATATACTTTGATCCTACTCTCCGAAAAAAACCCTGGTTTCTGGAATGAATAGCGAAATAAAGGATCATTTTTGTTGTGGATCTTAACATGAATAAATTCAAAATAAGAAAATTCCGAAAAGCTACGCTACAATATTCGGAAAATATTTATCTATAATATTTGCATTATTTCGTTTGACTTTGGATGTCACAATACACAGCATTCTAGATTCTTCACACTTGGCGTTCTCGAAGTTCAGTAAACATAATTCCCTCCAAAAGAACGAGGGCCATTGTGTGCAGTTCCACAATGGCCGATCTCTTCGTCTCTCTCATTAATTTCCTGAACAATTTCTAGCACTCGTCTACTAACAAAGAGGAAGAGCGCGTCATAAAAAAACTTTACATTTCGAATCTAGGTTAATAGAAGCTCGCTATAATTCTCTCTAGTTTTTAATACTTCCTTATTAACCTTTAGTCCTTTTTATAGTTATTTCTAGACACCTGTTTTCCAATTTTCTATTAATTTAGTTTTTCTTCTCGATTCAACTTTGATACAGGAAAGTAATCGGAAGATTTCGCACGAACAAGTTTCTCAGCTCAGAGGTTTCTTTGCCAAGATTACTTCATGAATAGGATTCTTTTTTTTTTTGCTTATCCCTAGTACACGTGGTACAGGCCATGATAATCATGGTGGGTAGTTAGCGACTGCTTTTTACTGTAAGCGCACCACATGTCTACACATGTGAAAGCAGTTCGACTTTGCACTTACAAATGTGCCAGAGCCCCGTTTGGTTACTTGCACTCGCTGGTGGGGTTGGACTTTTGCAAGAATCGGGGGGCCATTGGAGCATTTTCTTTTTAACAGAAAAAAGTGTCCAATGCGGGGATCGAACCCGGGTCGTAGTGATCGTAAACCAAACGGTTTAACCAGCCTTCCACCGACCCCCCAATAGGATTCATGACGGATGAGAGCAATAGGCCGATGAAAATATTGCATCGAGATTATTAGTTTTCTCCTTAATTTTGTAGCAAACTCAATGATTTGGTATTCAGTTAGCTCTCTCTCTCTCTCTTGAACTCTTGTAGTCCATCGGTGGCGGAGTCTTTCCCACGATGGGCGCCACCTATGAAAACCTTGTATACAATATATGTCATATATAAGGTATATTTATCAATTTTATATTTATTCATCTATATATCCTTATTTAGTCTTATTTTAACACAAAGCAACAACGCGCCATCTATACATATAAAATGAAAGGATTTAAAAGCACGAATGTTTCTTTTATACATAATACAAACTTCTACTGCCCTTACTCCTTTCATTTTATATGTATAGATAGCGCGTTGTTGCTTTGTGTTAATTTATGCCTAACTAGCTTTGTCTTTATTGTTTGCGGAAGAGCATTGCTCGATGCAAATATTTAAATGTAATTCTACTGTCCTATAAGCTTATGTCCATAGTGTTCTTAAATACCATTTCTAAGATTCCATCCTTCAGTGCTGCGTATATAAGCAGAATCGTCCAATACAGTATTAGAGCTCTGAGAAGCGGTCTGGTGGATTAAATTGGCG